AAAAAAAAAAAAAAAAAATTAGGCTGGAGCCTCCGTTCTAGATAGTACACTAAGCAATTACTCATCTAAATAAAAATTCAAAATGTAAAACAAAAACTAATTTGGTCTGTGTCTTTCTAGATTTTTTCTTTTGAGATAATTACTGCATATCATCAAACCTGCTTCGGGATGACTGTGCTATTAAATGGAGCCCTCCAGACACGATCTCAGTATTACCAGTGTTTGCAAAATGTGCTGTGCTGAAAAGCTCTTTGTCAAAATGAAACAGCGTTATGAGCTCCAGCTTTAGCCAGTTCTTCCTTCAACAAGAGGATTGATGAGGTTTGGATGTGAGACACCAGAGGGATGTGATTATTACCTGCTTATTTTCCTGCCTTCCAACGCTTGTTTTATTTATTTACTATTTGGCACAGAGGAACAAACCGTGGTGTTTTGTTTTTGAAGGACCCATCCTGACTTCACCATCCACAGCCTATTTGACTTGGGGAGAGTTTCCCATTTGTCTGCTTCAGATTCTTTGTTCATTTGTTTGAGTAGAGCTATCATTGCCATGTGCTGGCAGCCTGCTTGCTTCAAGGGTTTTATCTGCAAGTTTATGCATACGCTGTTTGCCAACTGTCCACCCTGAGAATGATTTCCAAGCTACTGAAGGGGAAAGGGAAGTTTAAGTACATATCTCTCATTTGCTCTCATGGGAAAAAATGACAAGCTATTTATTGTCCAGATAAATGACCAAATTAGCACATCAGCACAATTCAATGAAATACATTCCAGCTAGAACTGGCTGTAAATTTAATAGATCTTTTAATATATGGCATGCAGGGAAAAAAATCCCTTCTGGTGCCATTTATATAATTATCAGTCATTTCTTCTCCTTCTACAGTAATATATTTCTCTGTCTACTTTCTTAAATGCACAATTCTTGTGTAGTAAACACTCATGAGAAATACGACTTTTCAACCAGGTGAAGATAGCAATAGCAGAGTAGACCTTATTGTGTATGTGCCAGCCATTAAATAGGGTTTTGAGCCACATTTTTATAAAACATCCAAAGATCATATTGCAAGATGTTTTTCAGATATTATCAAATTTAACACAGAATAGAGCTGGCCTGAGTTTTTTTATTTTTTATTTTTGACATGGAGTCTTGCTCTATTACCTAGGTTGGCGTGCAGTGGCACGATCTTGGCTCACTGCAACCTCCACCTCCCAGGTTCAAGCAATTCTCCTGCCTCAGCCTCCTGAGTAGCTGGGACTACAGGCACACACCACCATGCCTGGCTAACTTTTGTATTTTTAGTAGAGATGGGGTTTCACCATGTTGGCCAGGCTGGTCTCGTACTCCTGACCTGAGGTGATCCACCTGCCTCAGGCTCCCAAAGTACTGGGATTACAGCATGAGCCACCGCACCCAGCTGCCCTGAGCTTTTTAATCATCAAAAAAGAATATATTAAAGATTATTTAATATTGAAACCCGTGAGTCAGTTTAACTGTTGCAACTAAAAGGACTTTTGCTTTGGTTTTTAAAGCAATCAGTATGAATTGCTAATCTGTAAAAAATTTAAAACTTGTGGAAGATAATAAAGATAGCTTGGAAAGAGCATCTGGAAATGCACTGGTGAGAATAGCCCTAAGCAGTTTTCAATGATGTTCTGGATACATGTAGTAAACTAAAAGATAGAGTTGGAGATTGTTTAGCTCTGGAGTTTTATCCAATAGGGGAGCCTTATGACATCCACCTCCATCATTAAAGAGACCCCAGTTTAGAAATGGGCAATGGAGCTCTATACTTAGTAAAGTAAAGTGAATCAGGGAGTGAAATCTTTTATGATCACTTCCGATTATCCTACCTTATCTGGAAATACTGCCACAATTACATCCAGAGCCGGCCATTATTAGGATCTGCAGACAGTGGCTTGGAACTAAAGCCGCAGTGCTTAGGCACACCACAAACCTTGCCTTTGCCATTATCTTGCCAGACGGAATGTAATGTGACATGCAGTTTCTGGGGCTTCCTTCCAGGTAGGAAAATGAATTATGTCACACTAACATAGGCTCTAATGTGGGGATGTAAAATTCCTGCTTTGTCAGAGCTATTAGTACAAGGGGAAAGACTGAAGCATTTACAAGTAGATTATTGTATTACTTACAGAATTCCTATCTAAAAGTCTTCCCAAGCTTATGATTTTGTACCAAAATTGTTTCTTTTTCTTATAATTTATTTTCTGTTTGCGTATCTTCTTATATTCTATTTTTGTTTAACTAATATCACCCTATAATTCTCACATTAGTCAAGCTTATATTCAGTTCCAAAACATTTCTAAAGTTCTCTATGAAAGGATCTTCCGTTTCTGGCCATGATGGAATAACGGGAACCACATTTAAACACCTCTAATACACGGAAAAACATACGAAACAATGTTGTTCAGACATCAGACAATAGGAAGTGCGGGACAGTGGCCCCTGAAAAGAAGAAAACAAAGTGAGCCTTAAGATTTTCCCAGCACGGAAGAAGTTGCCAAGCTGCAGCAGAGGAGGAGAAAACGCAAACAGAGCATGGCCATCCTCTTGAGTGGAGGAAACAGGAATGAGAAATGAAGGAAGCCCAGGTGCCTAGGATTTAGGGGGAAGACGACCAGAGCGGTGAGACCTGTATAGAGAGAAGACAGTCATTCAGAAAGAAAGCTTCAGCGGCCTTCAGAGGGTTTCCCTCAGTCTTCAGCTGAGGACCGCTCAGTGCACATGTGTGAAGAAACTACTAGAGGCTGTGGGGAAAAGCCCACCAGAAATGAGCTGGCAGAGCAATCCTTGGGGCTCACACAAGGCTGGTGATAATTTGTTCCTACTAGCTGGAGTGGAAAAATTTCATAATACATGAGCATCAAGTAAAGTACTCAGAAGACTATTTTCTCATTACTAACAAGCAAAATGAGCTCTAGATTAATTAAGTTTAAAAGTAAGCCTCAAATGGACCAAACTGTATTTAAGTAACTTAAGTCTATCCCAGGATAAAATTTAAGAATATTTAAAGGAATACAGAAATATCCAGTACACAGCAAGGTCAAATTTGTGATAGCCGACATATAATTAAAAAATTAGCAGCATCCAAAGAAGCCAAAAAATATGACTCATAATGAAGATGAAAATAAATTAGTAGAAACAGATCCCAAAATAAATTACTGTAATTATTTTCCGTATGTTCAAGAAGGTAAAGGAAAGGACAGATATGGGAGATATAAAAATGACTCAAAATTTCTATACATGGAGACGATAAGATCCAGGTTAAAAAACATATACACTGATTGGAGTTAATGGAACATTAGACAGACACACACACACACACACAAAGAGATTAGTGAACTTGAAAACATAGCAATACAAGTTATCCAAAATGAAACATAGAGAAAATAAATAAATAAAGCATCAGTGAGCTTAGGGACAACTTTGAATGATCAAATATACACACACTTGGAATCCCCCAGAACCAGGGTTGGTGGGTACAGAAGATATATTTGAAGAGATGAGAGTTAAGTTTTCCAAATTTGATGGAAAGTATAAATCCATAGATCCTATAAGTTAACAAACCTCAAGCATAAGAAACAACAATGGGGCTGGGCACGGTGGGGTGGCACGCCTATAATCCCAGCCCTTTGGAAGGCCAAGGCGGGCAGATCATTAGGTCAGGAGTTTGAGACCAGCCTGTCCAACATGGTGAAACCCCGTCTCTACTAAAAATACAAAAATTAGCTGGGCATGGTAATGTGGACCTGTAGTCCCAGCTACTCAGGAGGCTCAGGCAGGAGAATCACTTGAACCCAGGAGGTGGAGATTGCAGTGAGCAGAGATTACATTACTGCACTCCAGCCTGGGTGACAGAGCAAGACTCTGTCTCAAAAAAAAAAAGAAAAAAAAATATATATATATATATACACACACACACACACATCATAATAAAATTACCTAAAACCTGTAATAGAGAGAAATCTTAAGCTAGAAGAGAAATACTACATACAAGGAAACAAAGATAAGAATGACAATAGATTTCCTCTTGGAAACAATGTGGGCCAGAAGACAGTGAAACTATCTTTAAAGTACTGAAAGAAAAACCTATCAACTTAGAATTCTGCACTCAGAGAAAAAAATCTTTTGAAAATGAAATAGACATTTTCAGACATACAGAGGCTGAAATCATTCATCACCAGCAGACTTGCGCTACCAGAAATATTTTAGGTAGACAGAAAATGATACCAAATGGAAATCTTAATCTATAAAATAGTAGGAAGAGCACTAGAAATAGTAAATATGTAGATAAATATAGCATAATTTCACCTTTATTTAAAAAGTCCCTTTAAAAGTAATTGTTATTTACACAGATCAGTTGAAGTAAAAGGATGGTAAAAAGATAGGCCATGCTAACCACTAATCAATAGGAAGCCTGTAGAAGCAATAGTAGCTATTATCTATTAATGTCAGAAAAAATAGATTTCAGAGAAAAGAATATTAGTAGGCATAAAGAAGACTACTTCATAAGGACAAAGGGATGATTAAATCAGAATGAAACAACAATCTAAACTGTTTATGAACCTAATCACAGAGTTTCACAATACTTGAAACAAAAACTGACAGAACTGAAACAAAAAGCAGAAAGGTAAAAAGTGCTTCTCTGGTTATTAAGATTAGCTTCAAACATGCTTTTACTGAATTAACTTATACTGCTAAAAATGTGCTAATATTTTTCCAGGTAAATAATGCATTCAAGAAAAAGCCACTTCCATAAGCTATGCTACCTTCTCATTAGCTGCCAAATCAAGGCCAATGTGAGAGTGCGGTTTCCTTCATTGAGATCTTGTCCACCGATGCCAACCAGGGAGAACTTCGCTTGATTCTTCCCCAATTCTACCGCATAGTTACAATTCTCAAGCTGAACGAGCAGAAAGGAAAACGATTTAACGTCAGCATCTTGATTATGATAAATACCAGATAAATAATAAAAATAAAGATAAAAAATGAAATAAATATGGTCAGACTGAATGACTTCTCAAGTCTCAACTGGTTCTGCCATTCTAGGATTCAAAAGTAAAGAATTTTTCATCTTTCCTTAGAAACCCCTCACTTTCATAAAAAAAATTCATAATGTGGAAAACCGAAATGAATTCATTATTATGAATATGTTCACCGCTATATCACACTGCATAAATGGAGAGCCATCCTTAGTTACCTACATGTAATATTTCTAAAATAAGTGAATACACAGAGATTGACATGGAAAATTTGGAGTCTCCATCCTCTGCACACATAGCAAACGGACATGTGAACAGATATTCCTGCAGCTACGCATGGATCATTAACAGCCACAGCAATAAGAAATGCTGAGAAATGGCTGTGTCAACCCTGTTGTTTCAAAACAATGTTCCCACTGTGTTGACAGTCAACAAACTATTTGAACAAGTCAAGCTGTCAGTACAAAGCTCCAGTTCTTTAGAAATTAGAATAAAGATCCTGCTGAGGGAAAAATCCCTGTGGCTCTCTGCTTGCTCTAATTATCTTAATTAGAATTTTTGCATGATAATGTTTGAAGACATCCAACGTGGAATTATAAATAAGTAATCGACTGAAATAATGGACACACTTTAATAAACCTATTCAGGTTTCTGAGTGCTGTACTAGAATTTAATTTCTGGATAAACATTGTTTGGCTGCCTTATAAAGTATTTAGAGCGCTCTTGCAAGCTATGACTTTGCCTGGCTGCTGGAACATCAGAACCATCATTGTTTACCTTCTTCATATTGCCTCCCAGTTTGGGGTATGGCGGTTTGTTTACTCTGTTCCAGTCAACAGGAACTTTAATCTTTTCATAGAGCTGGAAGATGACCAGGGCATCTGATAAGTCACTAAACAAAACAAACACAAAAGGATTCTCAGATATCCCACATTTATTCAGGGCCTACAATGGGCCAGACACTTTCTTACATATTAGTTCAGAGAATATTCACAACAACCCCGCACACTGGTAGTCGTAGCTCCATCTATAGAAGTGAAGAAACCACGACTCAGAGAGACTGGGGGACTCACTCTTCCCAGGTGTGACCAGCTATGCCCTTCCATCCAACATATGCTGCCTCAGGAAAAGAAAGAGCACTCTGGTGATGAAATCATCTGTGCACCAAACCCCTGCAACACGCAATTCACCTGTATAACAAACCTGCACATGTACCCCTGTACCTAAAGGTTTAAAAATTGTAAAACTAAGTAAATGTAAAAGAAATGTTAAAAAAAAAAACAAAGATGGCTTTAACAAGTGGCGTAGGAGACGCTTCACCACAAACTTAACATCTGTTGTTTTGCCTGCTTGTGAGCAGATTAGACGTATGATCACTTATGACATAGAGTAAATGTTTCATTTTGTTGAGGTATGATTTATGTATTGAGCACACAGTGAGACTGATGTATATAGGTGAGGTTTTCAGCTGAATAGCCAACATCTGAAGCTCAACTTGGCACTTTTCCCCTTCCATCAAGGTATGCACATTTTGTGAAGAGAATGCACATCATGGTGGTATTTGGAATCCTATGGCTCTTTCAAGGTCTCTACCTTACATTAGAATGAGTTCCCAAATATTCCTACCTGTACAAATGATTGACTCGAGGGTTAACACCCAGGGAGTTCATCCAGTTTCTAAATGTCCGCTCTTCCCTCGTCTCACCTGGATGAAGGAAGACGGGTTATCTTTTGGGATTGAAGAAAACATGCCTTTTTTTATGACCAAAGTTTAACTAAAGAGGATGCAATAAAAACTGAAAATAGAATGAAAGAAAGAAATAAAATAAACCCTATTGGATTTGGATGAGGGTTCTCATACAGTGTTAATTTTTCTTTTCCATTTCAATTCCACATGTATTTCTATAGCATCTATTAGTAGTGTGTGGAATCCTGTGTGGGGTAGCTGTTCAGTTGGCTCTCAAAGGCTTACCTTCTTGCTGGAAAAAACAGGACTTTTAGGCATCAAACAGAGATCATACAAGCTACAGAACTCACTTAGGAGATAGATATATCTGTTATTTGAGCTGAGACAGGGAAAAGAACAGTATAGACTGAATTTGGAGGGGGTGGAATTTGAACTTGCCCTTGGATAGCTAGCAAAATCTGGATCAGAAAAAGGAAAGAGTAGAGGATTTCGGGAGATAGCAAGGGGTGGGAGTAGAAGACAGTATAAATATGCATACAAAGGGAGCAACAGGCAAGGTCTCTGTTAAGAACATCAGGAACTGGTTTGGTCAGGGGTCTGTATTGTGCAGTCCAATGAGGTAACCCTATCTGGAAGAAGAAGTCAGAATTGGAGATTTTATTTATTTATTTATTTATTTATGTTTTTTGAGACAGAGTCTCACTGTCTCTCAGGCTGGAGTGCAGTGGTGCGATCTTGGCTCACTGCAAGCTCTGCCTCCTGGGTTCACACCATTCTCCTGCCTCAGCCTCCCAAGTAGCTGGGACTACAGGCGCCCGCCACCACGCTCAGCTAATTTTTTGTATTTTTTTGGAGAGACAGGATTTCAATCTTTGGATACCAGGTAGCACATTTTAGTTGACATATTAGACAATGGCAGTCATTATGGCTTTGTAAAATTACTACAATACATTCTTGAGCAAGGCAGAGATATAATAAAATCAGTACTGGGATGTGCCTGGCAGCAGTGTGTAGAATCACTGAAAGGCGATATGCATTTGAATTAAACATGGCAGAGGGCAGAGTGTTTGACATTAGCATGTGGGATACACTCAAGCATTTGATAAATGGAGGCTCCAAGATCCATTAAAATAATTGGCATATGAGGTAATGAGTTTGGAAGAGCAGAAAAGAAATGTAACAATTGAGAAAATGTTCCAAAGGAAGAATTATTAGTATTTGCTGATTTAGTGGATGTAGGGATGAAGGATAGGAAGATACAGTAGGATCCAAGGTCTTTAGTTTTCGTGACTAAAGAAAAAAAATGGTATGATTAATGGAAATGGAGCATTTCTAAAAGAGGGCAAATGGGATGGGAGGTGGACTGGAAAGGCAATGGTTGGGGGTGGGAGGGAAAATAATCAATTCTGTTTTGCATATGCTGCACCTCAAATGATAGCCAAGGACCCAAACGGGAATATTCTAGAAGCAGCTGAAATGGGTGATTAGGGGGCTGGATATATAGATTTGGGAGTCAACAAAATGCACACAACCCCCTGACCATAATTCAGCAAATGACACAAATGCAGGAGTATGGAAGCACGATTATGCTGCATTTCTAGTGAGAGTAAAGTGCTGTGGAAAAGGATCAACTCATACTTCAGATCTGAATCTCCTTGCTTGCATGACATTCATTTAATATTAATTGACCTTTTTGTCTCAATATTGGGACTAGTTCATGACTTTTTAAAAAAAATCAAGTAAACATCTCTGGCACCTCTACCTGGTAGAATCTAACTAAAGCTATATACTTTTTGTTGAATCTTAGAGCATTAACCTGAAAAATACAACTGTTAGGGATTCTGCCTCAAAATTCTTTTCTGTACCTCCCATAAGAAACAAAACAAACCAAAACTCAGTAAGCATATCCCAGCATACATTAAATATCATTTTTTGATAACGAATGCTGGCAGTTTCTTGCCTCTAGGAATCAACACAGTCTATTAAGTACATAAATTATCTTTTTGAAACTCCAGATTTATTTCATCTAATAATTAAATGTATTATCTTTCCTAAAACATTTAATTCTGATAATGGATGAAGTCTTTGTATAACGGACATGATATAATGGTATTTAATTACTCCTGCTTTGCTGAAATTGACTTGATGAATCTATTTATTCTCTTTGTTGCATACCAGAGAATTAATGGCCTGTTTGCACGTGCAAATAGTTTATATTTGCTTAGGAAGTGAGTTTGAACTGCCATTGAATTAGAATTGTGAGTGCCTTTCCCCATCTTAAGCAAGTAGTTTGCAGTTAGTTACCTTCAAGAGCCCCCCAGTCAATGTCCTGGTTCTCTGGTTTGTGCAGGGCAGGGTATCTGTTAAAGAGGTTGGCAATAAAGGCCAAGTTCAACTTGGGGTTCCCTCGGACAACATCTGTGGCTGTGACAAACTGCCGGCAGCCCAGCCTCTCCGCCTGCTGCAACATGCATTCTGCCCTCTGGATGTCATCCTTCTCCTGCAATGCAAAAGGATGTCTCAGGGCTGGGTCAAGACTCTCCATGCACAAAGCAGATTGCATAATGTGAAAAGAAATGGGAATCTCACTGAAACCATTAGTCTCAGGCAAACACTTAATAACAGCACATTGTTACCTACACGCACCGGCACCAAAATCAGAAAGTCACAAGTAAAAGGAATCTCAGAGGTTAAGTAATGAAGGTCTCTCATCTCCATTATCAAACTATTTCAGATGAATGGTTGGTTGCCCTGTTTCAAAAGAGATGCAGTAGATTCTGAAAATTTATCATTTGAGTTTATCTTAATTATTTCCAACCATTAAGATTCCTTTTTATTTTTTTCTTGCACAGATGTCATGAGATTGTCTATCAACAAATTTCATTTATTAATTTATATTCCCATAACCAGTTCACAAAAGATATTTACACTTGCCAATAAGAGCATGTGATTAGCATAACCACCGTCTCCACATTGAGTTGGTATACTTGCAACCCAAACAAAATAAATTTTATCAGTTAACCTACATATTGTTATTGATAAATATATAATATCAATTTTATTTTTGCAGACTTCAGATTTTGAACCACTCAATGTGCTCAAATAATTCTAGAGAACCTCCAGCCATTTGTAAGCGACTCTTAAAACAACACTAAAATTTTGTTGAAATATGGCCCACTGTCCTTAAAGTATACGAAACCACCAATTTTCAGAAAACAAAACTTTAAATTAGGATTATTTCTCAATATGACACTTTACTAGGCCGGGCTCGGTGGTTCATGCCTGTAATCCCAGCACTTTGGGGGGCCGAGGGGGGCAGATCACGAGATCAGGAGATCGAGACCATCTTGGCTAACACGGTGAAATCCCGTCTCTACTAAAAATACAAAAAATTAGCCGGGCTTGGTGGCAGGCGCCTATAGTCCCAGCTACTCATGAGGCTGAGCCAGGAGAATGGCAGAATGGCATGAACCCGGGAGGCAGAGCTGGCAGTGAGCCAAGATCTTACCACTGCACTCTAGCCTGGGCGACAGAGCGAGACTGTCTAAAAATAAAAAAAAAAAAAAAAATGACACTTTACTAGATAACACTACATGTTATGCATTTTATGAGCTTTACTTCTCATCTACTTTTACTCTACTTCTCATTAGGAATCAATGGACTTCAATATGAACTCACTGGATTTAACTCCAATAATATTAAATGAGGCACACAAACAGGCAAAATGACTTCTCAAGACCAATACTAAAGTGGCGGCAAAACAGAGGTTTCATCATAACATTCAGACCCATGTGGGGTTATAGCGTCTACTAAAAGATGAACATATATAGAAGTGCCTAGCATGCTGGATGGCGTTTAATTACTATTGGTTTCTTTCTTTAATGTTCTATTTCCAGATTCAGTTTGCATCAATTATTATCCCAAACTGCCCACAGTTTTACAGTTTTAACAGGGCTTTAGGCAGAAATGCCCAGTCATGGAACTCCAGAGTCAGGGCCACACAGGGCAATGGAACTGCCAACATGAAAGCAGCATCATGTTCTCCAAACACAACCGGGACCTGGCCTTACCCGCAGTCCTGACATGTCAATAACAACAGCAGGAACGCCTTCTTCATCTCCTTTTGGAGCCACCTGCTCAAGCAGGTGGTAATAAGCTTTTGAGTCCTGTGAGAAATTAAGAAATTCCAATTTCAGAATAGCACAGCTAATTACATACTTAGCACAACAATGATTTCCCAAAAGCAAACATTTTATTTCATATTCAGCTATCATTCAAGAATGTAACTTAATTAACAAAGCTAGAAACATTCACTAATTTGAATGTTCTATGTGTCTCTTTACATATCACATTTGTTTTTCTTTTTAAAAGGAGTGTAACAAGAAAATAGACAAGATACGCACAAAAGTCACCCTAAAGAAGTGGATATTATTCTGTTGTCTTTAGGGGAGAAAAACAACTTATTTACGTGTATTAAATTGTATACAGGAAAATATATATATACCTTTATATTGCTGTAGAAGTCAGTCAGCTAAGGTTTAATTAAAAAAAAAGTGACAGAAAAAGGAAGCAGAAGTTTAAAGCAGAGTTTAAAAATACATTTAAATGAACAATCAGCAAGAGAAAAATAAAGACGTCAAAGACAGAAGACTGAAGCATTAACAAGCAATCTTTATGTAAAAGGAGAAATACTAAGATAAGTGCATTTCATGTTTATCTAGAAGCTAGAAAAATGGTTCAATGTAGTTATAGCAGATTAGATACAGGTATTGAATTCTCAAACTTCCTTAGATTCTAAAAATATGCTTATTGACAAAAAGAACTTTCAGAATTATAGTCTTAAAATATAAATTTATTTTTAGTCAGTGAAAGCATACAGATTTTCAGGTAGTTTACTTAAATCATTTAATAGCATCTCAACTTCTCTTAAAGATTGAAAAATCAGCTGCTATTTTTTTTCTACAACTGGTTAGGGTAGGAAAGGCGTGGGCAGAGGAGAGGTATGCTCCCCACTTTTGGCATCAGAAAGATGAGAACCAGAGTGTGAGCCATTGATGTTGCACCTGGGAAAACTGATCTTCATCTCTCTTCTTTCTACCCTCCCTTCTCTGACTTTTCACTGCAGCTATTTTGAAGTCAGTGACAGTCACATACAGGTGTTAGGCACCAATACCATCTGCATACCCCGGGTTACATCTTTTTAGTTTGGCTAAGAGTAACCTCATTTCACCTGATTCTTATGAGCCTTTCTCACTCACTCTAGCCTGGGTGTTCTCCTCGCCTTTGCCAATTCTACATGATTTAAAGACATCGCCCAAGGTTGCTGGCTCCTCAGACATACACATGACAGTGCGGTCAGTCGCCGTGCAGCTGCTGCCGGAGAACAGGCACAACACTGCATAAGTAAGTGCTCATCTGGCCAGTTCCCATCTCATTCAGACACTTCCCAAAGCACAAAACGGTTGTTCTAGAGAACACAGCCATTTAATGATAGGAAATTAAGTAAATTTACAGCTGAGATCAGACAGCCTCATTTTGACTGAAATGTTTTACAACTGTAGAGCTTAACTGTTGAACACCAAGGGAGATCATGATAGCCAGCTCCTGTTAAACCCCAGTTTGGTTGGTGGTGCTAGAAAAATGTTAATAACCCATGAAAGATGCATAGTTAGAAAGACGGATTTAGCTTAGATCCTAAGAAATGGGGGCTTTCAATCTAGAAGCTTGACTCTGACCGGCATGGTGCCTGACAAACCCTGAGTTCTAAATGCCACTGCATGCACGTCGTGTGGCAGTGGGAAACGGTTACTCAGAGAATTACAAGCCTAGGTGTACTCCTGTTGAGTCATGTGAACTTTCCTCTGACTCTTCCTCTTTGGGGAAAAGTTATTTAACTTTTGAGAAAGTGGAGACTGAAGTATTTTCCTGGTGTTGCATCCCAGCATCTCCTCTCTTTCCTTCTAGGGACTGCTTTCCACTCCTTTCTACTCCTTAACCACTTTCTATCTTCATCCATCTGTCATCATGGCCAAGAGCTGTTTTCTTTCACCTTGACATGGAACTTTTCATATACTTGAAAACCACAGTGTATTCCTGCCTCAGCCTTTCCCCTACGGACCTCTTTGTCTCTTTATCTGTAAATGAGAGGATGATAACCCTTACCTCATGGGGTTGTTGTAAGGATTCAACAAGAGAATACACATATAAATCAGTTGGAACAGTGCCTGGCATGTTGCAGACACCATGTTTGCTATTATTAGTGTAACTAGAAGAGTCATCTTCATTTAATTTTTTAAAATGAATTCCCATCTGCTGCTCCCATTTATGAAACCAGAGACATTACAGACCTACATATATTCCCTTTACTTGGACAGCAGACTGTGCTCTTGCTCTTCCTCTAGTTCACCTTTGTCCCTCTACTTTCTAATATGGAAACTCCAATTGAGACGCTGCACTAGGACTCCGGGCAGATCTGTGTGTGGCCCAGGACTAGAGCAGCAGATGGGCTCTTAAGGACAGTGAGCACCTCCAAAACCGCACCAGACTAACCCTGGAGCTTCTGAAGAGACGAAGCCCCAAATCTTTGTTTTTTCTTTATTAATGCCCAAATTCCCCTTCACTGCTGCAAAGAGTCATGTTCAAACAACGCTCCTCCTACCTTGATGTCAGTACTGAAGTTGCCAATTTTGTTGCAGCCTGCATTTTCCAGGTGGTAATTAGCCCACCTCAGCAACAGCTCTTCAGGGGAGAGTTTCATCAAATCTTCCAGGCTCTCACCTTCTCTCAAAAGAGCAATCAGAGCTAAAGAAGCACAAAAAAACAAAGAAAAATAAATGCAGCGACGTTGGGGGAGGGAGGGCTTGGTTATACCTTTCTTTTTTTTTGGTGATGGAGTCTTGCTCTGTTGCCCAGGCTGGAGTGCAGTGGCGTGATCTCGGCTCACTGCAAGCTCTGCCTCCCGGGTTCACGCCATTCTCCTGCCTCAGCCTCCAGAGTAGCTGGGACTACAGGCACCTGCCACCACGCCCAGCTAATTTTTTGTATTTTTAGTAGAGACAGGGTTTCACTGTGTTAGCCAGGATGGTTTCGATCTCCTGACCTCATGATCCGCCCACCTCGGCCTCCCAAAGTGCTGGGATTACAGGCATGAGCCACTGCTCCCAGCTGGGCTTGGTTGTAACTTTCATTGAGCTCTGCTAAAAAGCTAAAGATAGCAACGTTACCTCTTTGGGGTAAAGGTTCTTGTAGCCTTTCCCAAGGATTAAATATTCTATTATTATTCCCTTAAAAGAGGTGTAAGCTATTGTGAGCTTATTTATTGTCCCCATTTTTCAGATGGAGAAAACAAGGCACAGTGAATCTCAATGCTATGTTTAAGAACATTTGGGCAGAGCCATAAAAATAACCAAGGCTATGGCTCGGATGTTTTGCTGGATCTGTCAAACCACATTCCACAATATTACAACACTTTGGCTTTTAAGAGATCAATTTTGTAATAATAACAATGTTCTCTTGTCTATTCCCATAGGTGTTTTATATTTCAAGTGCTTACCTGCCTAATTATAGCAACTCTCTAATGTAATCAACTCTCCTCTATGTTTTCCCAGACAAGTAAATATTTTTTGCTTAGCTAGAAGGTTTAAATTTAGCTGAGGTCATTATTTGAAGATCAATATTCTTTCTCAGAGGTTCTAAGATCCCTATTTCCTCTCCCCCGCCTTCTTTATATTATTTTTAATACACTGGTTTTTACATAATATTTTAGGATTCTTCATTGGTTATTGTGATTTGGACATACAAATAAAAAGTATGTGTAACTAAAGACTAGAACTTGGCTACAGATTTCATATTGGTAGGATTCCTACCTGAAAACTAAAAGATAACATTGTGTTTTGTATGATACTTACCAAGGTTGGCTACCTCTGTCTAAGCCATGGGGCTGTCACTGTTTAAACACAGATAAGATGCTGAGAGAAGACACAATAAGACTGACAGCTACATATTTAGTTGAGAACTCTGAAACCCTAAATGGAATTTTCTACAGTCTTTAAAAATTTTTTATTCTATCCTGTATAGATTTAAGGTGTATAACGTGATGTTTTGGTATACTTATCTTGATAGACACATACATAGTAAGGTGGTTACTGTTGGTCAAGGAAATTAACATACCCACATCTCATATCGTTTCCTTCCTTCCTTCCTTCCTTCCTTCCTTCCTTCCTTCCTTCCTTCCTTCCTTCCTTCCTTCCCTCCCTCCCTCCTTCCCTCCCTCCCTTCCTTCCCTTTCTTTTTTTTTTGTAGGAAGAGTACCTGAAATCCACTTTCTTGGCAAATTACCAGTATACAGCACAATATTATTAACTATAGTCCTCACACTGTTTAGATTTCTACTTATTCATCCCATATAATTGCAACCTTGAATCCTTTGACCTATACCTTCCTCTATAGTTTTGATAAGAAATAGACCAAGTTCCTCCTAATCTGGTACCATCGCTATAGCATATGAATATGAGTTGCTTGCTTCACAAAATGCAAGTTAAAAGTCCTCTTATTTGTTACAAAGTATCTAAAGGCAAAGTGAGCTCTGAAGAAACCTCTTGAGGTTACAGTGCCAAATATTCAAGACTGAGCCCTATGCTCCAAACAAGCATTATTGTTAGTCTGTGGTCTTAAAAAGCTTTTGCTCTATCATTAACAAATGTCTGGTCTGTGTGTCTAGAATCTGTTACATGAACACCACGGAATCAATATAACCGTGTAGTTTTCAAAACTTGAGAATTTCTGACATCTTCCTCCTACAGTCCCCAACGCATAAGTTATTAGAAAGCTGTGTCATGACCTTTGGGACTTGCTCTTACCTTCATTTCTGCTGAGTTCGATGTCAGCAAATAACCCAATCTTGATGACTTGCCACAGAAGTCCCAGGACCAGATAAGGCTTCCCCTCCTTCAGGTCCTCAGCCCCTATGTTGACCACATGGCACCCAATGGCTGAGGCAGAGTTCAGAGCCAAGTTCAGATTTTCCTGAGGGAGAAAAAGTATGCAAGTTTTTGTTCTATGACTTTGTAGATGTCAAACAATACTGATGGCAACAGCAACAATGTTTTCCTTCTGTGAAGGTCACAGGTTTAGAGTCATGGTCTTCACTCATTTTAACATTGAGAGAAAAACAATGACTCATAACCAGAAGAGAAAATCCAGTAACCCAGACACCGAGCTCATGCAGTGGTCCATTCAATCAAACCAGCACCGTAACTTGAAGGCCCATTCTGGTTGGCATGAGACTAACGAGGCCTATATTTTTCCATCTTGCTCTGTGATGAAGCTGACACACACAACATCTCTACTGGCCAACAATAAAGGGGCACCTTTGAGGAAGTCATTGTCCTGTCACTGGCCATCATGAACAAGATGATTGTTGATGTAAATCAAGATCATAAAAGAGAGTAGCAGAAGAGGTTTTTGACTTGCAGATTGGGTGTTAAGAAAATGAAAAAGGCTGGGCACGGTGGCTCATACCTGTAATCCCAGCACTTTGAGAGGTCAAGGCGGGTGGATCAACTAAGGTCAGTAGTTTGAGACCAGTCTGACCAACATGGTGAAACCCCATTTCTACTACAAATACAAAAATCAGCTGGGTGTGGTGGCGGGTGCCTATAATTCCAGCTACTCAGGAGGCTGAGGCAGGAGAATCTCTTGAACCCAGGAGGCAGAAGTTGCAGTGAGCCGAGATCGCGCCATTGCACTCCAGCCTGGGCGACAAGAGTGAAACTCTATCTCAAAAAAAAAGAAAATGAAAATGAAAAATAGATACAATTAAAATTCCTGGAAAAGATGGAGTGGTTTTTTACTAGGTCGATTTGTTGAGTATCCGTAATAACGAGGGAACCCGTGTATACACACACACACTCACAGAGTCTATGTTCTTATGAGTAACAACAATGCAGGTAATGTAACTCACATATAGTCGGGACAGAGTCAAGGAAGTTTTCAGTCCAGACTCTCTATGTACTATTCTTGGGTTTAAAAAGGAAGAGATACCAGTGTCAGAGATGTATAGAAATTGTTTTGACAAATTAAAAACAAAGCAAAGGCTACCAGTGAATTAGGAAAAGAACTATCAGAAGAAAAGTGGGTCCTTGTTCTAGTGCTCAAATGATGAGTGAAAAATAATGTTTCTATATATGGTCAAGATTATGAGTAAATTTAACATTAATGCATTCATATGTGTTTAATCATTGTTCTCAATTTGGTTCATTTCCATTTTTAAAGTACACAAGGTTGCTTAAATCCACACAGGAGATAATGTACTGTTGATGATTTAAGAAGTTAGATATGGTTTCTTAGCAAGAGAATTACAATAATGTTAAAATATTGGAACACTACACAGAAATACACTTACTGCTGGTTACTATTCCAGTTAATCAACAAATTGATGGAATAAAAGCAAGTTATATCTATTATACTCGTGGCTGTGGCCAATATTGCTATGAAGGCTGCCAGAGTACTTCCCATTTTTCACCCCTTGCTTCTTAGAAAGGCTTATGTTTTCAGCTGAAATGCTATTTATTTGGCATCAAATCAAAGATAAATTGCTAAGAAAAGCTTGAGTTAAAACTTTAGCCAAAGTGAATTATATTCCTAAGTGGCCAAAACAAAACATACAAAGCCCCAGCTGCTACCACTCCACCAGTCTCCCTTCCTTGCTTCTCAGAAATGTATCCCTTTATCCCTGAAGTATGACTAGTCACCAGCCCAAAGCCCAGATTTTGGGAATGATGTCTGAGCCCCTGAAAAAGGCTGACTCAGCAGTTACGATGCTCATTGATGCCAAACCAATCCTGTATTACGGTAATGGTGGGAAGACATACCTGAATGGTGAAAGGGGTGAGCTTCTTTTTGTTGATTGTTCTTTCATCAATTGTGTCTGGCACTGACAGGTTGATCATTTTACTGAAAGGGAAACACTTAAATTAAAGAAAGCTGTCTTCTGAATAACAGAGCCCAGTAATATTGAATTTAAATTCTAGCAAGACCATAATCAAAGAAGACAGCAACAGACTCTGTAATGTTTAGACATAAAATCAGTTATGCCATTTGACTAGACTCAAACTATCTGCGGGAAAGGTGAATACTACTGAAGCCATATTAATAAATTGAGGGTTGGAAATGAGGACCCCACTTCATTCTCTCACCTAAACAGCTGCAAAATTATCCTGATTTTCTTGGCACATTAGGAAATTCTGGGTGGATAACCAAAGTAATTCTACCATAAATACTTTATTTTCTTAACCATGAAAATTGTCCACATTATATAAAAGACTATCTATAAAATTCTGAGCTTATATAATACCTACATTTCTATTTGACACCAGACCAAACTTTATATCTTCAGTTAATCATGTTATAACATTTTTATATTCTTCTCAGTGCCCTAGGCTGACTACCAATGAGTCACAGGGGTCTTAGAAGGTAAAACTAGGAGATTGAGGGAAGACCATGGGGGGCCTTGGATAGCAACCTAAAAACTAGAATTTTCATTTTTTTTAAATAGCAATTGAACCTTTTAAAAATGAATTATCAGGACAAACTCTGATAAATAAAATATCAAAAGTAGAATTGCTCTGGTCAGAGCAGAGGAGAAAGTTCAATGTCTTGCCCACCCATTGTTTCCTTTAAGTCCTGAGTCTCCCACATATTGAGCACCTCAAGTCATCTTACTTACAGCATGGCCTGTGATGACAGAGAACCTGCTGAAGCAAGAGCTACAGAGGGATTTTCAAAGACGTCATGCTGCATTGACCAGCACCGTATTTAGAGGCCTCCTGTGGATAGGATGCATTCCCCCTTTTCCAGGTGTCCTCAATGTTTGAGTTGTGGATTTCTGTGCCCCACTCAAAGGTTTCTTTGCTTAAGGACCACAGTTTAAGGACTCCTTCCATCATCCTGCTGCTGTTATCAATTCTATCTGCTTTCATGGTGAGCCATGCTCAGATGAAGCAAGCAGCATATATTCCAAAAATATATAACCAGGAAAATTGTCCTCATTATATAAAAGACTATCTATGTACTTCTGAGCTTGTATAATGTCAACATTTCTATTTGATGCCTGATCCACCTTTATACTTTTAACTTGTCATCAGATAAACTTTTTAATGTCCGTCTATAGTCATTATTTAATCAGTACTTTACAAATTCCCCCCACTTAATTATCTAATACATTGATTAGACATCTAATGCTTTTGACTTGGTGTTACTATACCTTCCATGTTTATCTCTATAATGTGTATCCCTCCCCTCCACTCAAGCAGTAGCAATTTTACATTTCTCATTATAAATTGTTTTTGAATTTCGCTTGCTGTCCTGGACCTGGCCAAGTGAAAGTGTAGAAAAGCCTTCTAGGTGCAGCTGAGCACCAAACAACGTTGGCCTAGGATAAATACAATTAATTGTTGATGGTCTAGAAAATGGGCAACTCTTTGGCAACCAAGAAAGAAGTATTATTTACCAAAGGACAATGCCATCTCCAACAGCATTAAAGAGATCATTCGTGTTTGGATTCATCGGGATGACATGCCGACAGTCAGGGTCATTTTCCAGGGCTTTGTTTATCCAGTTGACAAAGGCATACTTTTCTTCCTCTGCAAGTAAATGATTAAAGTGGCTCATTTGCAAAGTGAAACTCTATTATAAACAAAATTATGATGTGGATCTTAAATTCTCATTCCCAGCAGAAAGATGAGAGTTTATTCAGTCCATTATCTTATCATCTCATATTTATTAACATTAAAAAATCTCAGAGCACTTGGGAAATAGGCATTGAGTCTATGTTTACTCCAAGTCATAAAACATAAAGCAAACAGATTTAAAAACTCTCTATTTCTTTTTTTTTTTTTTGAGATGAAGTCTCGCACTGTTGCCCAGACTGGAGTGCAGTGGTGCGAGCTCGGCTCACTGCAAGCTCCGCTTCCCGGGTTCACGCCATTCTCCTGCCTCAGTTTCCTGAGTAGCTGGGAC